CTTTGTTTCTTTCCCTCTAATTAATTTGCTGTTGCTGCTCATTAGGATCAGCCTGCAGAGGTTGCTTGGGATGCAGCTCTTCCAGTGGCCCCTGGGCTAAGAAGACAAGGACTGAAGCGGCTGGTCAAACAGGCCTAAACCCCCCTCTGACACCCCCAAGCGCAGCCTCTGACCAGAGGGGGGGAGAGGAGTGGGGAATAGCAATCGTCTTTAGCCAAGGTGGAGCTGAAGATCAGGGAATCGATCCTGTGACAATCCCCCAGAATATATTCTGCTCAGTTGTTGTGTGGAGGAAAGGGAGGGGGGCAAGTGTAATTTGCTGCACAAACATTGTCGGGCTGTGTCCCCCCCCCCCCTCCCACCGCCTCTTTTAAGAATTGCATTGATCCCAGTGCATAAAGCGCCCATAAATCCATCTAATATCCCGGCTTGATTGATTATTGCCCTTTGAAAGGACTCTGGTCCAGGACTGCAAATTCCGAAAATGATATTGGTAAATTACACATAGCGTCGCAAAAGGGGGGGGGGGGACAGCATGCAAACAGGAGCAGGGGAACTCGAGCGCATGCGGCATTCCCCAAAACCGGGGATCAATTTGACGCGCGTGCATGGATGCAACCAGAGCGCCTCCGGAAAAAGACGTGCAAAAAGGCAGTGCCGTTGCAGCCCAACAGAATATTGCGCCCCTAGTATAGCATGCAAAAGAAGATATGTAATATAATGTTATCGCAAACAGATGCAAACAAGAGAGGTAATATGCACGCATCTAGGGAAAAGGGCAGGCGGAGGGAAGGCATAATGGCCTTACACACAGATTTGCATCTCCCCAAATAGAGTTACCATACAAGTTAATTTACCCTTACGTTTCCCCACAGAAAGTCATCACAGAGACATTAGAAAGGGCAGGCACAGAAATGTATGCTGGGCAAGAAACATGAGAAATAGAAGGGAAAGTGATGAATGCAGATAGAAAATACGTAATTTGCAAGAGGACCCTGGTTAATGCATGCAAAAATGGATCTTATGTACTAAAAGGTAACACACAGTTTGATGGACAATGAGCAGCGTACATAAGTTAACACATGCACACAAATAACGCACAGGGGCTAAAAGGCACAATTCATATGCACACAGACCTGCACATGCAAAGGTTCAGCCACGGAAAAGTTGCACAGCTGTTTTCCCACACAGGCAGAAATGGCACGTGAGCATACGTACAAAGCACACTTACAAGGAGTTTAGTGTGAGATGCAGGTACATCTTTCATTTCAGTAAACATTCAGAGCGACGGAATTTATGACGAGAGAGAGAGAGAGAGAGAGAGGAAACTATCCCTTTTCCCAACACAAAACCAGCCTGAACGACTCATCCGAACAACAATTTTGAGGGGAAGATTGGCGAGGCAGAACACAGACTTGCATTTCCCTGCTTGTTCTTTTTTTTTTAATTGCTCAGAAAATGCAGATTTTAATCCCTTCTGAAGGAAATTCAGACTCCTGTGAACTCTGGGGGCAAAAGTTAAATTTTGCATAAAGGAGCATTATTCTGTAAAGATTCTTTTTTAAAAACACACAAACACAAAAAAAACAAACCACCCCTCCCAGTAAAGATTGCAAAATAACAGCCCATAAATCAAATGGCTCTTTTTGCTCTTCAGCACAGAAGAAAGTGCAAAAGTAAATGACAGGGGCTGGGGGCGCTGAGATGTGTTGCTACTGAGATATATTGGACTCTTTGGGTTGCTAGCTTCTGGGCATAACGACAGCAAAGGGGACTTCTAAGATGGCTCCGTTTTGTCACAAAGCAGGAACAAATCGGTGTTTAATAAAGTTGTGCACAGAGACATACGTGGACCCCAATATATAGGCAGATACAACGTGTGTGTGTAAGAATGAAAACACATGAGCACAGAGGATCCTGAAAATAACACTGCTATCTTGAGCACTTTGATGAGGAACAGTGGGATACAAATGGAACAAATAAATGATCAGTGGTTCCCCCCCCCCAAAAAAAGTTATTGCATTTATATTGCACCTTTGCCTCCAAGGAGCTCCACACGACATACATGGTTCTCCCCCTCTTCACTGAATCCCCACAACAACCCTGCGAAGTAGGTTATTTTTATTTTTTAAAAGTTTTTATTTATACTTTTCAAGTTTATACATTTCATTAGTTTTAAAATCAATTTAACATTTCAGACTTCCTTCCCCCTCTTTCTGCGGTTCCTTAAATTTATTTTGTTTAATATCTTCTGCATATCCAAATTCATTTAATTTGCTCATTTAACTACCTACTTTAAATATATACTCTTATGAAACTGCAGGTTATTACAATAATCCTGCCAATGTTTTTATCTGGTTGCATTTTATCTGTAAATATTCAATAAACCACTTCCATTCTTATATAAAAAGTTTGTTACCTTGATTTCTTATTCTTCCGGCAAGTTTCGCCATTTCTGCAATATTCCATAAGTTTTTGTAACCATTCTTCCTTTGCTGGGACTTCTGCTTCTTTCCACTTTGCAGCAAGTAGCATTCTTGGGCTGTAATAGCATACATGAATAAATTTCTATACAATTTAGGTAGTTCTGTCCCTATAATTCCCAAAAGAAAAGCTTCTGGGTTTTTTTTACAAAAGTTATTTTGAACATCCTTTTCAATTCATTGTATATCATTTCCCAGTAAGCTTTAACCTTACTACAAGACAACCACACCCTGCAAGATAGGTTAGGCCGAGAGGCAGTAGCTGGCCCAAAATCACCCACAGAGCTTCATGGCTGAGTGGGGAATCAAACCTTTGTGTTACTAGGTCCTAGGCCAACACTGTAACCACTACACCACAGTGGTTGAATAAAATGAGCTACTTATACTGAGTCAAAATCACTGGTCCATCTAGCTCACAATTGTCCCCACTGACCAGCAGCACCTGTCCAGGGTTTCAGGCTGAAAGTCTCTCCCACCCGTACCTGGAGATGCTAGAAATTGAAACTGGGACTTTCCATATAGAACACTGGTGCTCTAAAACACTGAGCCACTGGTGTTCCCCTAACATAACACTAACATAAAGGCTGATACCAAAGAGAATATAAGCCAAGCACTGATTCGAACGTTGATACTTAGGTTGCATACAAAAGAGATGGGTTTGCAGACCCGCATGCAGGTGCTCACCGATAGAGGGACGCGGGTGGCGCTGTGGTCTAAAGCATTTAACGTCTTGGGCTTGCCGATCAGAAGGTTGGCAGTTTGAATCCCCACGACAGGGTGAGCTCCTGTTGCTCTGTCCCAGCTCCTGCCAACCTAGCAGTTCAAAAGCACGCCAGTGCAAGTAGATAAATAGGTACCGCTGTGGCGGGAAGGTAAATGGCATTTCTGTGTGCTCTGGCACTCTTCACGGTGTCCTGTTGTGCCACAAGTGGTTTAGTCATGCTGGCCACATAACCCGGAAAGCTGTCTGTGGACAAATGCCGGCTCCCTCGGCTTGAAAGCAAGATGAGCGCCGCAACCCCATAGTCGCCTTGGACGGGACTTAACCGTCCAGGGGTCCTTTACCTTTTTTCTTCTTTTTTTCTTTTTTTTGCTCACCCATGGAAGCTAAGGAACTGGCCACATCAGCACTGAGAAACTTGCATGATCCCGTCTTACAGACAAGCACCTTCGAGGAGAAAAAGGGATGCATCATATATACATAACAGCATAATCATAATCATAGCGCAGCTTCTTGACGAAAGGTGAAATGAATTTGGCCCTTTTTGCACAATATGTCTTCAATCAATCATTTTCCCGCCATAGAAGCCTGATCCAAAATCTCTTGCAATCGGTAGGGGGAAAGCGTCGTCTTAAATACAACCCATTTCTGTTTTCCCACACACACAGATGTGTGTTTGTGTGTGCGTGTGTGCATTGTACTTACACCCTCCTCTCTCGTTCAAATCTGTGTTTTCTGTTCATGTATAAAACTCCACCTTTCCTACATCACCCATACGTGATACAGGCAGAACTCACATGGTTAAAGCGTGCATGTATCTCTCAACTGATTACCTACATGCGTGGAAAGAAGCAGAAGTTCCAGCAAAGGAAGAACGGATACAAAAACTTATGGAATATGCAGAAATGGCGAAACTTACCGGAAGAATAAGAAATCAAGATAACAAACTTTTTATAAAAGAATGGAAATGGTTTATTGAATATTTACAGATAAATTGCAAACAGATGAAAACATAAGCAGGATTATTTTAATAACCTGCAGTTTCATAAGAGTATATATTTAAAGTAGATGAATAAATGAGTAAATTAAGTTAACTTGGATATGCAGAAGATATTAAAGAAAATAAATTTAAGCAACTGCAGAAAGAGGGGGAAGGAAGTCAAGTTTTGAAATGTTAAGATGATTGTAAATAGTGAAATGTATAAACCTGAAATAATTTTTTTTAAAAAAAATGTATCATTTTATATTTACACATGTACATGACAAATGCTATCTTCTCTTTTATATGCACACTCCTTAAATTACTCACACATCTTTCTTCTGTGCACATCTTAATGTGCACTATTTTACCTTACACAAACATGTACCAGCAATGTTGCACACAGAGACGCGCACACACACTCTCTCTCTTCCACACCTGTCTATATCGTTTCCATCAATATATACCTATAAGTTCCTAATATGCCTCTTTCTCCCCCCCCCCCAACTCTGCTCTCTGTGCCGTCTCAAAAAAATGAACCATTAGTTAAAACGGCATATCTCTCTCTCTCTCTCTCTCTCTCTCTCTCTCTCTCTCTGGTGTGTGTGATGGGTGTTTGGGGAGAGGGGGGGAATAATTGATTAATTAATGAATGTGATGGCTTGCAGCCCCTCTAGGAGATTCCTGCTGGATCTGTCAGCTGTTAATCAATCTCCGCCGAGAGAGGCGAAAGAAGGCACAAAGGTAAAGCACTTAATTGCATGGGGGAAATGATACAACCCCGGCATATAAAACACATCCTTAAACATGACTCTAGATGCCAGCGGGGCTGCGGGATGCAGGCAGTGAGCCCGGTCCAGGAGATGGAATGGGTGTGAGGAGGAGGAGGAGGAACACAGCATCAGTCATTCCACGGCGATGCAAGTGCCCCCCAAAACAAGGCAAATGACGGTGTGTGCACCTCTCTGAGAGCTCCTTTTGTTCCTTACAGGGAGATGACAGTGATGTTTGTCCACATGGAGCCCCACCAGCAGCACCTCAGGATGGAGGCCTCCGGCCCCCCACGTTCCTGACAATCCGCCCCTGGCTCATGCAAATGCGAGCAGAAGCCCAGGCTGCTATGGATGGGATGAGACACTTCCAGGCTCCAGGCAGATCTCGCTCAGTGGCTGAGCCTCGCCTCCTCTGTGAAGCAGCAGAGGTCGCTCTGGTTGGCTTAAAGCTACTTTTTGCATCTTGGGCAGCTCAGTCTGATCTCCTCTTCTTGAGTTTGTGGAAAAGGCTTTGCATGTGGTAGGGAGGGGTGCTGGGTGAACTGGTGGTTGAGAAACCTCCCTCTCTCTCTCTCTTTCTCTCTCTCCCTCTGGTTTTCCCGTTGATGGCCATATGATCTGGCACCAGGAGCCTGGAGCTGCTACCCGGTCACCAGCTGAGTTCTCAAGTGGAGAAGAGAAAGGAAGGCAAATATATATACATACATATTCATGCATGCACACACTCTCACACACTCACAAACACACTTGTTTTCCCCTAGCCATCTCCATCCCTAAAGCATCTCCTGCTGCCGCCGCCGCCGCCGTTCCCAATGAAGTGTGATTGAGCCAAAGAGTCTACTGTAAACGGAAGCAAGTCTCTCGTGGAGGAAAGAGACAAGAAGGAAAGCAGCGCAGCCGAGCAACGTGGGTTTGCCTTGCCAGTCAACAAGTGCCCCTTTTGGAAAGGGAGGCCGTCGAAGTGGAGCACCGCCGTCCTCCTCCCCTTCCTCACTCCAAGGACGCTAAGGTGGGGACTTCCGTCCGGGTGGTTCTCGACTCCAGAGAAACTTCCACCATTACCTCCAAAAGCGAAGACGACTTCTTAACCCTGGCCGCCTCCAGGCTGAGCCGCAAGAAAAGGGTCATCGGGGCTGCCATCGGGGTGGCCATGGTCCTGGTCCTCCTGGTGGCCATCCCTTTGCTGGTCCACAGCTCCAAGACCACCTCGCACTACGAGATGTTGGGCAGCTGCCGCATGGTCTGCGACCCCTACACGCCCCAAACCCATGGGGCGGCTTCGGCAGAGGCAAGCCAGGAGCTGGCCGTCATCTCGCCGCCTCCACACGTGTCCGGAGGGAAAGGAGACCCGGGGAGGAAGGGCAAGTCGGGGATTCGTGGGCCGCCGGGCCCTCCGGGGCCACCTGGGCCCAGAGGTCCAGCCGGGGAGCCAGGGAGGCCTGGCCCTCCAGGCCCACCCGGCCCAGGGCCTGGGGGATATATCCCATCTTTCTACAGCCCTAAGATTGCCTTTTATGCAGGACTGCGGAAGCCGCACGAAGGGTACGAGATCTTGCGCTTCGATGACGTGGTGACCAATGTGGGGAACTACTACGAGCCGTCAAGTGGCAAGTTCACCTGCCCTCTGCCCGGCATCTATTTCTTCACCTACCATGTCCTGATGCGGGGCGGGGACGGCACCAGCATGTGGGCAGACCTGATGAAGAACGGGCAGGTAAGGCGACACTCTAACCCTATGAACTTTTCCTTCCTGGGTCATCCTCTGTGCCCCCTCTGTCTCGCTTACCACTCTCTGTGTGCCATTCTCTCCGACTCTCCCCTATTGCATCCTCCCATTCCAACTGCAAACAGAATGACCCCTCCATCAATAGCCTCAGCATCCCAGTTCCACTTCACCTGTAGCCCCTCTGATTTGTTCGTCCTCCTCCTCATGCCAAATACACCTACCTGCCCACTCCCAATGCTACCTGCTCCCACACCTGGCCCCTCCCAGGCCAAGTGCTAACCACACCCACTCTCATTAGCTCCTCCCAATCTTTCACACCGACTCCACCCACTCACCTTTTAAAAGTTCTTTTGCCCTGTGGCTTCTGCTCCTTGACCACGATCAGGTACCATCTGCTATGTAGTCAAAGCCTGCATTTACTTCATGCGCGGAAACCTCACCGTACACTCCAAACACAGCGTGTTTCAGTTATGGGGATCGAATAAGGGATTTGTCACAAAGATCAGGAGAACATCCCACCCGGCCTGACCCCAAAGTTAGCGATAATTCTTCTTAACTCCAGAGTACTTTTTAGTAAGAAATTACTTTCCTGCAAATGATGTGTGCTTACTTCTTCCCAGAAAGGCTTTCTATTAATTAAACAAGACAAGTATATCGGTCTTACAAAGCTCTACACGTTTTATTAATCAGAGGAGCTACAGAGTACTGAAAATAACCCTGTCTTTATAAATAGGCATTTATATTAAGAGTTTGGGGGGCGGGGGGCTTAACAAATGAATATCCGGCACATAATCCCACTGAGCTTTCCTTGACGTCCCTTTTCCCACTAACAACACCACACAAAACGCTACAATATTCGGATTTGCAATCCAGCATAACTCTCCGTTGACTTTAAAAATCACCTTAAATTGGAAGCTGTTTTTGGGTCAAACCTGCTTCCTCTTTTCTCCTCTCTCCATGCTTTTGGGGGCTTAGCTTTTTAAAATTTTTGAATGGAGGGTTTAATATATGATAAAATATAAAGCAGTACACTGTGCAGAAAGCAATTTTATTCATTATTCCAAAATGAGAAGAGGTTCTCATTTCATAAAGGATCGGAGCAAACTTAAAGAAAAAGAGTGATTTCCACATTTTCTTTATACACATATATGGGGCAGGGTTCTACTTTCTTTTTAGAAATGCTGCTTACATTGATTCAGTGTGAAACTACTTAAAAATGCCATAACTAAATAAATATTTCCTGCCAGCTTACACAGAATCGTGAAATCTAAACTTTGTGCAACAAACATCACATCCAGTGCACAGACAAACATGCATTCTCCTAAATACGGTGCATCTAGTTAGTGAAGTTTAATAGGATTTGCATTGATCAGAGAGAAATTGGAGCCTATTGAATGCTTGAAAATTGTGTGAATGGACCTTATTAGTCTGTAAGAAAGTCAGTAGATGTAATATAATCTTCCGGTTTATGGAATGTTATAGAAATTGCTTACTTTATACATACACACACACACATTTGCTAAAGTTGTGTGCCTACATCTATAAATTGTATGTCAAACAAGATATATAGAATGACTGCATGGGTATTTAAACAGCTTTAAAAATTGCCCACTGTGCATTTCTATTAAGAAATATGGGGAAATATGTCTATCTAAGCTACTTTAAAAATGATATATACATGGAAGTGTGAACATAGTGTAAATTGTGCCCAATATGTATTGCTAAACACTAATTATTTTATTACCCAAACTACATAAATTACAAAACACATATAAGCATATTAAATACTAATTGATTATGATCATATACATCAATTTTGTGCTTTACAATTAAGATTTATTCAGTTATGTAGAATTGTTGCAGGGAGTGTGTGTTATATTTTATCCTATATATAAAGAATTGTGACTCACAATTTAGCTTCAATTTCACTTTTAGCAGTGAATAACATACAACAAGTAACACCTTTCTATACCAGTTATCTGCATGATATTACGTATATATACTTGCAAATCCCTTCTACATGCACATTTTTCTGTACTCATAACTATAAATTATTAAAACAAAACTTGGTGACAGTTTCATTCCAGTTACATGTCCTTGTGAACATAATGATTTGCTTTTACATGAACTGCATGTAAGATGTTCAAATGAAAAGAGAGCATTTTGCGACGCCATGGGGTTATATGAATCTGAAAGAGAAGCAGAGCTACTTATTTTTTAAATAAACCAACTCCATCCCCAAATGCAGTCCAATAACACTTCAATATCTTCTCACATGTTAAAGGACTTCAAGTTCATTTCCCTTCATCTATATGTCTTTCTGTCCATCAAAAGTCCCTTTCGTCTTTCTTCTTCAGCTAGATTTCAATAAACTCACTTCCATGACCTCTGCCACATCTTTATATTTATTAGCAATCCGAAGCTGCAGGCAGGTGCAAAGTTTTCAAGAAGCACATCTTATTTGGTTGTTTTTAAAGGGGTGTGTGCATCTGTTTACTGAATGAGCTTTCGTGAGTCCGAAAGGCAAGATCTAGTAGCCATCTGCCAGGAGAGGACTTTCCTCCCAAAAAATTAAAAGTAAACACACACACACACACACACACACACCTGCACAACTAGGACAGACACCACATTATTAAACGGGCGAAGTTACACTCGAGTCTCATTTTCAATGCTTTCCATTTATTGAAGATAAACAAGCAATTGATTTGAATTTTTTAAACACATCCCCGTTCTCCTTCAGCAAGCCCCCACATCCCTGAACTAATGAAAGCAACCTCTCAGGAGAAGGGAATCTGTCATCTCCACAGAATCAATAGGCGTATTTACATATGCTAGCTGAGTTCAAGCAAAAAAACAAAAAAGAGTATAGGAGACACTAGCGTTAAATGTGAATGCACACGCCAATATTGCATGTACACACAGAGAGAGAGAGAGTTTTACATCGGCAAAAGATCCTTGAATCGCCAGCTATATAACCCTGCTGTTCAAAATTCTGGACCAGCCAAACGCAGTAAGCGTCTGTTTTACTGCCCTGCACATTGCTTTTTTAAATAAATAAATATCCACAACAGAAATGGGGGGGGGGGCTGTTTCACACATTATGGGTTAGGAGTATAGACAGTGTGACTCTGGAGCAGCAAACATCACACACCCACACCCCCGTGAGGCAAACATAGTTGCTTTGAACCAGACAGTGAACACACACACTCAACCTGTAATACAGAGGTTTTCAACCTTTTGGGGGTCCGCGGCTCCCTTGACGCAACTAACTTATTTCTGTGGCACCCCTGTGGGGCTCGGGAGCCCAGTTATATGCCACCCCTTGCCTGCAGAGCCGGCAGCCCCTCACCGCTTTTTGAACACCCTCTTTTGTGAAGTGTTCCCTCAGCCTCCTCTCCCTTCTCGTCGGGAGTCCTCTGGGCAGTTGCAGCTGCTGCCCCTGGTCTCTGAGCTGCCCCAAAGAGACGTGCCTCCTCACGCTGCCCCACAGGGGCCTGGGAAGCACCCCCTGGCCAGCCCCAGAGGCACCATTCACCCAAGGAGCTTGTAGCCAGGGCTGCTGCTGCAACAAACAGTTGTGCAAGCCTTTGGGAGGCAGAGATGCAAGAGGGCATCAGAGGAGGGAGGGAAGGAAGGAGGGACAGAGGATGGTGTTTCCCGTGGCACCCCTGACCATCATTCAAGGCACCCCAGGGTGCCCCGGCACCCAGGTTGAAAACCACTGCTGTAATGTATAGAGTAGCCTCAGGGCATCTCGAAGCGCAAGTCAGAATTGGCCCCAGTGCCAGTCAGCTAGGCTGTTGTCCATGCGCCTACTAGGAGTTTGTTGTCTCCACACTTTTAAGAAAGCCCAGCGCTGACCGTTTCATATTCCATTGCTTTTCTAAACTAAAACATACTTTCCAACTATAACATGTATTTGACAGTTTCCTCATAGAAGTGATTGAAATGATCTATTTTTAGTTTTGGCGGGTGGGGTGGGGAGATTCTGCAGCCGAATTAATCTCACCCCACTTTCCTCCCTGCAGAAATATATTAGGGAGAGTGCCAATCGCCCCCTCAGCCTGTTCATTGATTTCAGTCACTTCTTTTTTAAAAAAAAATGCAGAGCACAGTCAATTTCACCCAGGCCTTCGATAATTTCAACATTAATATCACGGTTCTGTCTCCCTTGCAAAAATAATAAAAATAAAAAAATCAATTAATTTCTAGCAATATTTGGATATCCAAAGTGCCACTAAGGATAAATTTGGAGTTTTTCCCCTGATTGGTGTGAGGGGGGGAAATTTATAATGGCGTGGCTCTATTGATCTGAATGCCAATTTACATCAAGGCAAATCTCCACCTCCGCCTCACCCACAAGTGATACAAGAAAACATCTAAAGTAATGCTGAGCATGATTTATGCTTCATGGGCTTTTTTATACCCCCTCCCTTCTTCCCTCCCACCAGCTTAGAATAAAGATTTTCCCTCCTTAAAATCACAAAAAACCAACACCCTGTAATAAGAAAATGAACGCTGAGATGGTAGGGTTAATACGTGGTTTTTTTCCAGGGAGATTTTAAATAGATTTCGACACCTTCACAATTTGTGCTTGGTGAGGAGGAACAATTGCCTGTTTATTAAATAATAAATAGCGGGGAGGATGGAAACTGACATGGCAACTGGTAATATTGGTTCAGTCAATTCGTCCCTGGAGACCTGTTTGCAGTCAATTTGTCAGCAAGGACCTCTCTTTTTTTTATTATTTGAGTTTTAATACCAAAATGCCTCCTGTCAATTGAGATCAGGGGCGAGCGATACCCCTGTCTTTACCTCTGATCCCAGACTAATAAAACAGCCTTTTTTTCTTCCCCATCGCTATCCTTCCTCCTACTCTTTTCTAAAATTTATGTAGCTTTTTTTTAAAAAAAATAAAAAAGCCAGGGTATTAAAATAGAAAAATCACTGTAAGATTTATGTATAACTGTGGCAATAAATCTAGCGGCAACGTAAGCACGAGTGGGGAGGGGGCTACACTGCTGTAATATGGAGAGATGCAACAAGACCCTGGGCATCTGAGACCTGACCGTCTGAAAGACGGGTGGCCAACAAACCGCTCTCTTCAAATGTTCTTGGACTCCATCTCCCATCAGCCCCAAGCATGATAACGGTTCGTCGGGGAGGATGGGAG